GATGATGATGATGATGATGATGATGATGATGATGATGATGATGATGATGATGATGATGATGGTGATGTATTGTTGTTTCATTCCATTTTACGCGACCTTGTTGGAATTGAAGTCAACATTGGCTCCCTCCTGCCATGGTCGCCATGGATTCGTTGAATTTGTCAACTTGAGATTGCGTTCACTCGGGGGTCGTTGCATTCCGGTGTCAAGTCCATTTGCACCACATCCACATTGCTTGCAAGACAAAGTGATAGAACCCTTGATCATCGGTTTTGAGACCACAGGTGTGGGGCTTGGGTTGTTTCTTGACACTTTGCAGGCTCCAGGCGTTACAGGTTTTTGTTCTGTTCACTAAGACTGCACGAGAGAGGCATGTGTGGTGACCCCAGAACCTAGTCAACGAGTTGGTGACCCCTTAGTTGCATTTGGTTCACTTGGAATTCAACATCTTTGGTTCATTTGGCCCTCGCTATTAGGTTGGAGGCCATCGCTCTTAGGGTTGGAGGTCCTCCTTTATCCTTCCGCAGGAGATCCACTCACCGGGCATTTGATGAGGACGGCTTGGTGCTTCTTGGTGAGGAGGTCACCGGTGGGTGGATGGACGGCGGTCGATGACGAAACCATCCAGTACCTGCCACAAAGGTCGAGGTTTAAAGGTTTCCAAGTGGCATGTACTGTAGATGTTTTGATATGTTTTGAAGTTCTTCACCCATGGTTGATCAACATTGTCCCTCTATTTTTATATATGTTTCTTTCAGATCTTCACGGCCATTCCATCATTCCATCTACCCGTTTCAATTTCACACGCAAGTGAAGAAATGAAACTGTATAATATATGCTTATATGTAATATATATCATCTTATATCACAAGCAATGTTGGAGCAGGTCCACGTGGTCGCACATCCCACGCCACTTCACCCTTGGGCCCCCCAAATCGAGAATGCCCCGGTGTCGTGCGCCGCATGCCGCTTCAGCATCCACGTTGCCTGGAGGAGAGTCGCCTCTTTGCCGCGGTGCCAGGCGTGCATAGTCAGCAACTGGACCGCGTTCATGTGGGGACCCGGTTCAGGGGGGACCACTCCGAGAGGCGACCGCAGAGGAAGTGACCGCGGCTTTTCGGAGTGGTTCGGAGAGTCGATGGCAAGGGTCACAGAAAAGTTCCCCATGACACTCCGAGTAGATGGAAGATTGACCTACATTCACCCCTGAAATCACCCCAACGTAAATCTGCCAGTCCCATGGATAGCAGAAAGCTTCATAATTTGGTCGGCTTTGAAGAAGCTGGCTTTGGGTGGGAACGTGACGTGGGGCAACCGGTTGCCCACGACCCGGCTCGCGCGAAGTGGGCGATTTCGTGTTGATCTGTAGACTTCTGGGCCATCCTGGGTGATGGGTTGTCGGGTCCACTGCACCAGGAGTTCCGCTGCCCGATGCTTCGACCAGTTCGTTCTGTAACGAAAAAAACGATTTGAGGCAACCCATAAGTACCTGGATCTTGCAATGCAGAAAAGACCGTTGTCAGTTGTCACCCTGTTTTTCTTAAGCACTCTTGCCGGCCTGGTCCTTCAACCTTCGCTCGGGAGCACACTCAACCTGCTTGTGGTTCAGACCGAAGAACCCCCGGGAATTCACACCGCTTTTGGACGGAGGAAGCCCTTCTTGGACGCCTTTTTGCCGGAGGGCCCCAAGTTGGAGATTTTCGCCCGGAATCTCCGGCCCCATTGGTGCAGCTGGGGCCTCTTGGATGCTGGAAGAGGGGTGCATCAGGGTACCTGGTTGAATGGGTCCGAGCCGATGACAAGAACAGAGTTCTTTGATGTCGGTGAATCACGAGCCAGGTTGATATCCATTTGAAAGTAGAACCTGAGCCAGTCAGCCACATGGATGCCTGCTTTAAAAGCAAGACTTGACTCGTGTGTTGGTTTGGAGGGTCCAAATACCTCCTCAGGGTGTACTTGGAGCCCTAGGGTATATTAATTATATGGTCTATGATTCTTAAGCTTGGACCATCAATGAACGTCCTCGGGTCCGGATTTTTCATGAATCAGTCTGTCTCGTCCTGGCAACTGTTGTTTCGCAGATATGATAAGTTGCAAAAATGTGGCTCTATGCATCTGAAAGAGGCTCTATGCATCTGAAGGGTGTCTGTTGGGTGTCTGTTGGCCGGCCATCAACTGAAGGGGACACCTCCTCAAGACTTTGCTTCCCAGCCAAGCCTTCTCACTTGTGCTGGTTGTCGTGGTTGCCGGGACAAGTCTTTGAGTTCAGTTCTGACAGTATAGCATGGTGAAAGTTTGTCGTGGGGAACCCCATGATTTGTTTGTGGTTCAACCTCTCTTTTGAGTGCATGCTGATGTCTGAGGCAACGAGGTGCTCCTCTTTCAAAGGTCCTGCCTCTTCCGCCCGGCGGAGGAAGACCTGGGCGCAGCCGCGGAAAAAGAACCATCATCCATTCCCAGACGCTTTCTCCATTCAATGTAAAAAAAAAAATGTTGGTTTCAGGGGTTGATTTATGCGCACATACGACATATATATATACATATTATGCATATATAGATCGAGTGTTTGGAATTTGGTACCTTGGCCTTCGGTCCGCAGATCCTGGAGACCTCCACGCTTGGTTCTCTTCGGTTCGCGAAGATGTGACTGACGGTTGACTGCTGCTGCAAGGATGCTGTGAGGAAACCGGTTGTGTCAGCGGGCTGTGAATCATGTTGAATTTATGCATTTGGCTTTGGGTGGGTGTAGGGCACCAGGTTTGGACTCGGTGACAGTCACTATAATGTCAAAAATATATGTTGTATGATGCAGTGCATATCAGTGAAGCATGTTGAAACAAGAGATGTATGGAGATGGAACACCAGGTGATGTTCTTCCCTTATCAAGGTGTTTGTGCTCTGCGGTGTGGGTCACGCCGCAGCCCATTGGCGCGAGCGGACCCCAACGAGCGGGCCCAGCGAGTCAGCGGTTCGGCGCTTGATCGTGGATGGGGTTGATCGAGGTGGGAAGCTTTCTGTGGTCGCGGCAGCTGGGCAGGGCAGCCATGCTTTCTGAGACACGGCAGGTTGTTGCACCATGCTTGCAACATCTGGGAGAACTGTAAGAATCGGTCTTCCATTCCTTTTTTTTGGATATAGGTGGGGTGGTGTAACGTGAAATCATCCTTTGGTTATAACCGATGGCAGATCGCCAGCCCATTCTTTGCTTTCAAAAGCCACGGAGTGTCCCTCGGTGTCCCTCAATGACTTGTTTGATCTTGTTTGCGGATGATCCGGGGCCCGCAGTGATCACGCATCTGGCTTTGTCGCCAGGGACGCGGATGGTGAATTGGAACCAGCTGCAGAATGCACTGCCGGCGTGTGATATGTGGTCCGCGGTTGAGCTCGTTCTGAATGGTTCTCTCAAAGAGGGTGCAAAATGAAACACACTGATGTGTTCATCTCATTTTTCGATCGAGGATGAAGCCAGCTGTAAATTTCTTAAACCCGTACCAACTTTGGTGGAGGTGATGGCATCCTTCAAAAAAACACAAGAACCATCCACAACTAAGCGAAGCGAAGCTCTAAGCCGCTAAGGAAACACATGGTCCACTTCGAGGACGCACCAGGAAGGGATTTCCGGTAGTATTGAGTCCTTCATAAGAGCAGGATTAGGATGTTTCATTTTTGGTTGAGACTTCCAACAGGTTGGGTTTGGGAATCTGGGTTAGGAAGCTTGGACTTCCAGGTGGTCTTTGGTCATTGTGAGAATAGTATCTCACAAAAATCTTGGATTGAAGCATCCAGCTTCATCTGCAAATTTGAAGATTTCGTTTGCCCTCTTAGATCTTCGAAACGATTTATCCAGACGACTGGCAGATTTGTCAATTTGTGTTCACTTCTGATTTGGTTGAGTTTGGACATGTTGTTCTCTTGCAAGGATGGGATCCATCGCTTGATCCTGCACCATCGTGGGGAGGTTTGTGTCTTCACAATGCAATAGAGGTCCTGGCATACCAATAGTCTTTTGTTGAAGTGCCACAAGTGATCCGGGAAACCACCCGTACCCAGCAAGACAGCTTGGTACCCAACCCACCATTGCCTCCACCAAACCTACCACTCCCTCGTGCAGCCAACTCGTGGAACACCAGGCAACTACGCCTGATAGTAAGTGCCCAGCTCAGTGCCCATCTCCGCGCATCTCCGTGCTTTTTCCGCGACGCGACGAGGTTTTTTTAACCCAACGGCTGGGCTGAAGAAGTACAATTAAAAGTGTTTTCTTCAAAGCAGATCAGGACCATGGGGCGAGCCATTTTTCGATTTGGACCAAGGCAAAGCGGCCAAGTCGCAAAGGATCAAGGGGTTGAAAGGGAACATTTGGGGCGAACGAACTGAGGCCCACCCCTGGGTGGCTATTCAATGAGATCATCAGGGATGTGGCTTGGCGATTTGAGAAGCTTGGGTTCTAGGTGGAGCTATGATAATTATGATAGTGATGATTTGGATGGTTAAAATGTTGCGTTCTTCTTGTTGCTTGGTCACCTGGTCCACATATTGTATAACTATCGCCTTTCAATGGCTGCAAGGTACTATCAAAGCGATCACGGCTTCGGGGGAGTGATCCGAGATGGATCGGAGGATCCAGAGCCCTTTCGAATCATCCCTCTACATCGAAGAGGGCGTGCAACCTAGTAGCGAATGGCCTCCAACCTACTAGCGATGCTTGTCTCGGACATTCATTCCTTGCCTACGTCCACTGCCCTGGCCCGCGGACAGGTCCGGAATAACCCCAAGGACGGGGCTGAGAAGACGAGCGAACTCGCAACTGCGCGTGCACAGCACGGTCGAGCGAACAAGCCGGGCGAGATGTGCGGTCGGAAATCGGCATCGAAAACAGCCAGCTCCTGTGAAGCAAGTTCCATCAATGACGTACAGAATGGCAATTTTAAGGCCAGGAATTCCATTTTTTGCGGGGTGCCGAACTTGGAGGCTAGGGGCCGATCTACTCACATGGATGGGACTTGGTTGAGTCATCCCGACATGGAAGTGTTGATAGAAGGTCCTTGGTTGAATCCTGGCTGCATAGCTTGGCAGATCTGTGGGGTGTCCTCAGGACACTCCTGATGTGGCGGAGTATTTGATGCAGTGCGTTTGTAACGACCAGCTCAACATCCAGCTGAAAGGTGTCGGGTGACCCAGAATGGAGCAACATAAGGCGCCATGACTTCAGGTGATATTTGTGTACCCTAGAGGTGAATCCCCTTCTTCAGCATCCTCCAACTGGTCTCCCCATCCAGCAGGCTTGTGGGTCTTCCGATGTCTTTCATGACGAGCTTAAATGGGTCTTGAAGCACCAAGCCGGAGAATCTCTGGAGATGATCGACTGGAATGATATCGTGTATGTCATGTCTTTTGCAAGCGCAGAAGCCATCACGAAGCCTGGTTTCGAGATGTTCAGAGTGCCAATGGGTTGGGTGTTTGCGTGTACCCACCTCGGAAAGGCATGCTGGCTGCTTTACAGATTTGGGGGAGCTTGACTCACTGAAACACACATACGCACTAGACCACCGAACCCACAACTCTAGCAACAGATGATCTCAGTCAAGACTCTTGAGTGCCAAAAGCACCCAAGTATACCCAAGTGCCATGTTTGGGAGCACATCCACCGGTAGCACGTCCCTCCGCCCAAATGGCCCATGTGGAAGACCCATGGGCCTTGTGGAAAAGTGACACATGTGGTGTGTAAAGATGTGGATGTTCAGAGTTGCACAAACCATGGAAAACGAGACCAGAACAGAAACGATACCATATTTCAGTGAATTGTTTGTTGGAAAAACGATACCGGAGCCAAAAAAACACGATACCTTTATAGCTATTCCATGCTATTCCACTTTTTCATGCAAGGGTTTTGATCATCGCCCAGTTCCTGGGGGCAGTGGAGGTCGACCCAGGGGCAGTTCCTGTAGCGACGTTGCTCCGCTCAGCCAACCCTATGGAGGCGGTCGTGACAAGTGAGACAGACACCCTATACAGCAGACTCGTGCGACTCGCAGGGAATGAGGGAAGGCTATCCACTCCTGTAGAAACCTCAGGATCCATTCCCTTATGGTAACAAGTGTATCACTACTAATAACAAGTGCATCGCTATTAGTAACAATTGCATTACTAGTAACAACAAGCTACTAGTAGCAATGTCCTTGTTCCTAGTAGCTTCTAGCTAAGGACCTGTCAGGATATAGCACCACGAGCTCCTCGGGATCTGAACGGCAGATGGCCCAGGTGCTTTGCATCAAGCACATCGCCGCGGAGGAGAGAGCTCGGTGGTCCGACGGTTCGAGAAGAATCAAGGTCCGCTGGTGGAAAGGGGACGCAGGACGCAACGTGCCTTACTATTAGTAGCTTGTTACTACTTACTACTAGTAAGGCGCCCTGCTACTAGTAGACCCTTCCAAGAGAAAGCTCTGAAGTATATATATGTTTCCACTTGCTAGTCGAACAGTATCATGTTCAGAGGCACCACTGGCAGTGTGGCATAAGTGCAGGGTGATGCGGCTTGCAATTGCGAGACAATCATTCAAAGGATGGATTTGTCCAATCCATATGATTCAGTCCGATCATCTTTCTGAATCAGGGTGAGCACAATGTGAGCACATTGTGTGCAGTGCTATAACTGAGGCTGTTGTAGTGGCAGGGTTTGCCTTGGCTCAGGCCCTAGGGATCCAAGTACCTTCTCAGAAGGTACTTGGACCCTCCAAACCTACATAACAGTGTCTCCGATCACCTTCTGAGAAGGTACTTGGATCCCTAGGGAGCGGACTTAGAGCTTTCAAATGTCATAAACCTTTGAGCAATCCAGTTGTGGCTCGGCCTGGACATTCGGCAAAAGGCGGATACCAATAGCAGGATTCCAAGCCTATTTTAGGGTCCTTGTTCAAAGGATCCTTCTCGGCTTTGGTGCAACCTTGTCAGTTCAGACTTCAAAAACGAGAGGGAAAGGGGAAACAACAAAAGCATGAAATCATCGGAGCCACCCAGTAACGGAAAAGCCAGTGATTTCACTGAAACGTCGAGAACACAAAAACACCTGCCAGCATGCTTTCCCTTCACGGATCATTCAAGTTTTGCAAAAGAAATTGCAAAAGAAGTGAAAGCACTAAGCACAGTGAACAATATATAGAGGTTTTGAAGTGTGTTTAGCCCAAGAACTCAGGAGAACAACCGACACATGGAACACTTAGAACAACGGCTGGCAATCTGTGGCCGAGTTCTTTCTTCTTTTTATATTTTCGGAAGATGGTGCAACCTGCGCCGGAGGTTTTGTTTAGCTTCATTTCCGCGGCTTTTTAGTGCTCAAGAAGTAGACCTTAGGTCACTGCAGAGTGTATCATGGTTGCCGTCGGGCAGAGGGGAACTTGAAAACAAAGAAGGTGACCAATGCTCGTATTTTTTGCCCCCAAGTACACGGTATTGGCCGGATGGGCCAAACAAGAAGTGGCAGGCCTGGCCTTGTTTGGGGTTTTGATCCTCGCTTGAGACAAGCGCGAGGATGTCACCTTCCAAAACTACCTCCTCTCGTGTCCTGGAGCGCGGCCGCCAGCTGTTTCGGACGGCGAGGGCGAAGCACCTGCTGGTTAAGCAGAGACTGAGCAGTGATTTCGTGGGATGGTTGAGGTTCTTTAAACGACATATCACAATGTTAGGTCGTCCGGGTCATCTCAAGCATAGATTTGTCCCAACCAGGAAAGTCTAAGAGTCCCACGTTTCAACACATGCGGAAAAGTCAACGTAGTCACCGTAGTCGATACCGCAAATCCGGTGCGGGCCGTTTCTGAGTCCCACATGGCCGTTCCTATGACTCTGTCGTATCTCAGCACATGTTGTTCTGAGAAAAGGCAAGTCCATGTTGAAAGACCCAGGGATCAATGTGTCAGGGAGTTCTGTGTTTTAAGAATTTTAGGCCATTTGTGAAGGTACAAGAAAACCATCTATTCCCCAGACGGGACGCTCGCGGAACACGCTGGCGCCTAACAAGCCTCAAAAAAAATAAGTGCTGGGGACGCTCTCCGGTCCATCATGTCAAGGCTTTGAAGATCATGGATGACATTGCCGCCCCTCCAATCGTACCTCAGGCCGCGTGTCGATGTCGCGTGATGTCGGTATACCAGCCGGACGATGTCGCGAGAGTTGGTTTTGGTCAGACCACCAGTGGCACACATGGCCGTGGGCCAAAAGAACATTCCAAAGCATGGAATTACTGAAGCAGCTGAAGCTGATAGACGGCTCTCTTTGTGCTGGTGTGGTCACTTTGCATATATATATATATATAGGCATGGTTCAACTCTTTAATTGTGACATATTGTAATTGTGACGATTCTGAGTTGACTGATGATTCTCAAGAGGTCAGACACATTTCATTTGCCCATATTAGTTGACTGAGATGTTGTTTTGCTGACAAAGATGGAAAACCAACATCCTATGGATCCACATACAGTACCTTCTGAGAAGGTGATTGGAGACATTTGGAGACTATTTCTGTAATTAGGCGCCAGGAGGGCCCAGCCATACCTTCTGAGGAGGTAGGATCCAATGAATCTTGCTCCGAAACAAACTCAACTGGTTGCACCGGCCAGTCATGGTCCGCGAAAGAAGCCGTCCATGACGGCAATGTGTGCAACACCTCTTGGATATAATCACATTTGGTCAATGTGATTATATTGTTTATCATGATCATCTCAAACATTGTTTAGCGAATCACTCCATGAACTTCAGCCTATTTCCACACTCTCATCTCACCTTGCCCCCCGAAACAACCAGCGACCAACCACACCGCCGACTTCGTCGAAACACCGCCGTGACACCTCGCCACCAAGGCCCGTGCCATCGAGCCGCAGGAGGTACGAACGGTCCGCGACGCCACCAAGTCGGCGCTGGAGCCCGGAATCCGCGGTTGGACGGGGCGACGGGCGGCGCGGTGAGTGGTGAGTGGTGTGGTTTGTTCAGGATGGTTCAGGATTGGTGCAGCTTTGGAAGCTGAGGATTTTGGGAGAGTTCAGGTTGGAGGTCAATTCTTCATGGGAGACGAAAGAGGGAGGTTTGTGGAGTTTTGATGAGTTTTGCGGTGACCACTTTTTCGAGTTTTCAGGTGACATGGATTTTGGGGTCGGAGCACGACCACATGGGGGTGAGACTGGATCACTTGGAGTTGGGATTAACACGACCAGGGATGACCGGGATAAGGACGATGATCTGGGACATAGTGCCTTGGCATCGAACCGGTCCTGTGCTTACTAATCCTTTGACCTCAAGAGGCCCCCTCCAACACCTAAAGTGCTTACTAAACCGCACCAGGCCTTGAGGCCTCGACGGTCTGAAGTGGTCCGCACGCATGGGATTTGTACAGTAGCCGCTCCATCGCTCCATCTCTATCATCCAGAACATTCCATGGATCGGATCAGAAGTCCATGAAGCCAGTCCGAATCGGATGCACAGGAGGCTCCGAAAGCCCAAGCAGTTGCCCCTTCAGAACTTGAAGTTCCGCCAGTTTTCTCTACATCTGCTTGTTCTCAGCCGTTTGGAAGTGGCCAGAGCTCGACACAACCAACACCAGGACAGGCAGAAGTGAAGAAAACGTCGCATGCCCCCTTCAGGAGGCCATTCGAACACCTCACAGCGTGGAGAAGTCCACGGCAGGCGCGGTTCCGGAGCCATTCGTTCGCGCTTGTTTAGACGATGAGATCTGGAGCATCGCAGGACTTCAAAGGACATGTGGGTTGACATGAAAACAATCAGAAACGCCAGGGAGAGGGTTAATATTGAAGCTGAAGGTTCCTACTGCAGAGGACAGACAACTTTTGAAGACTTTAGGTAGAGTGAGAGAGTACTTCACAGGGTGAGCAAACAGTTGGTGTGTTTCGACCCAGGCAAAAGCAAGAGCTGTGGGTGTTCAGAAACCAAGCTTTTGCGGGCAACGTCGGGATTTCAGTCTCAGATACTGTGTCGTGAAAGCGGTGGACAGTGTCGTGGGAGAGGTAGACCTGCCAAGCAAGATGAGAGACCATGGAGTTTGAACAGGTCGCTGGTGTAGAGGGTTGAATTGAATGGCAGATCCCCCAAAAACATGTCTTCTCCACCTGAACATGTGGCCCAACCAGGGACCAGTGGCTTAGTATCTCTTTCCTTAGCCCCTCAAAGGGCGATCCCGGTGTTTGCTGCCGAACACCGCCTCCAAGCCTCAACCCGATCTTCTTCCAGAGCCATTCTTTGGCTCGAGTTTTGGGCAGCGCCCTGGGCTCGTTCGCGGAGATCCGTGGAGCCTGAAGTGTGTGTGCGTGCGTGATGGAAGTCCCATCTGGCGATGAGAGATGCCGAGTCTATTTGCCCTCTGAGGTTCCACCAACTTTAGAACAGGAAGAGGACCACACCCCAGCGGAACTGTCGTTGGATGTACGTATCCGGCTCCTTTTTTGGCAGAAAAGTGTAACAGTTTTGTTCGTGGCAAAGACCAGGTTAGTGAGTGGAAGCAAGAGAACTCTCAGGTTAGTGAGTGGAAGATGGAAAAGAATGGCGCCAAAATATCCTCCGCCCTTGTTTGGAACCCCTGAAGAGTCTTCCTTCCAGCATGAAGATTCTAGAAGTCTACACTTCCCTCGGAAACTATTAGCGATTCCTCTACCCTACGACCCGCGATGGCCTCCAACCGACTAACCTTGGAAGTGGAGTTCGCCGCCTGTATTGGTATTTGGCAGAGGGTCCATCCTTTTGGCCATGCCATCCATAACATAACCATGATTCCAGGGAGGTGGAGGCCATCGCAGCGTAGCTTGGAGGCCAGGACGCTACGAACGGAGCGATCGGGTTCGCTACGTTCGGTTGGAGGAAGTGATAGTAGAAGAGACCCGCTGGCCGTTTTTCGGATGCGAAGACGCACCAAGTCCTTGTGGATCGAAGTGACTCGGTCTCAAACTGTGGCGAAGCTGGAGGACACATGTCCACGATCCCCACAAAGATTTGTCCACATGGGAGAAACCACCCGGCTGAAACTTGAGCGGATCGAGTGTTGATTTTCTTGGAGTTTTCACATCCTAAGAGTCTCACTCTTGGAGTAATGACATCCACGTGACACCACAGAAGGGTGATGGTGAACGTGGTATGTTTTCGACCACCACTCGCAGGACGACGCGTCCTCGGACGTCCTCGGTGGCATCACTTGGATCGACTCGGAGAGTGAGGACGAAGAGGAAGATCCAAAGGTCACCGCTGGATCGATGAGGAGGGCCAGGAGGAGCAGAATCCCACGTGACCCCCCCACCCAGATTAAAACCCCAGCAGTCACAAGACGGGGTGCGATCCGTGGAGTTTAAGGGTACCCAGAACATCCACTCACTGGATGCTTAGGTTCGCATCATTCTGGCGCCCACACGCCCAGAATAACACGACGAAATTCATGTTACATGATTCAGCACCTGGACCTTCAAGGGGTGTCCTGTTTGGAGGTCCCTTCGTGGTGTAGGGGCTTCCGTTGGTGACCCCTTTGAAGGTGCTGGCATGTTGCATGATTCTCTCCCCGGGGTCGGAGCCTTCATACCGCTCGGATGAACAGGAGAGAACTACGCACGAAGGCGTTGCGGCACTTTTTCCGGGCGCATGGCTTTCGGGGGATCCATTCGCCCGCGAAGCGTGGCTACTTCCAGTCGTGTCTTCCTTGGATGGAGCAGGAAGTCCTCTACCCTCTGCATGCAGCAGTCAAGAAGGAGAATCTTCAAATCATCCAGACCCTTCTTCGTTTGGGGGCCGATCCGGAGCAAACGACGTCCTGGGGACGGACGGCCGTGGAGATGGCTTCGGGAGAGGCCAGTGAGAAGCATCAAGAGATGGTGGAGGTGCTGGAGGGCAGGAAACTCAAATGAGTTGGTGTGTTTTGAGTTTCAGATGTATATACCAGTCAGGGGACAACCTTTAAAACCTTTTTTGGGTGGATTGGGGACACCCCACTGGAAGCCAACAGCGCAATTCCCATGTGGGCCACCCTAGGTCACACCCTGGTTCACCCCAAACAGTGAGCCAACAAACAATTGGACGACCCTTGACATATCTTTCCTTCTGGTCCTTACTCTAGTCAGGTCTCCAGAGTCACCAAGTGTGAGTCTACCCGTGACGCCAGGATTCGTCGGATTCGCTTCACTCGTCGGCCCAGGAAGATCCAGTCCGTCAAGGATCTGTTTGTGCACATGCAACGTGCAAGAAAGCACCAGTCGAAGACGACTGAATTTTTCTGAACCTGGGTCGCTTTTCAGGTGGCACACATAGTGAGACTAAGTGAGGTCGCTAACTTTTTTGACTGGGCTTAAGCAGAGCTTCGTCCAGGAAGTCCAAGATGTTCTTTTCACGGCCCCTCAGAAGTGAAGGTTAATATATATTAATATCATGCTGACATCAGCTGTTGTCCTTTCCGTTCCTGGCTTTGTCCTTTTCTTTTGGCACCAATATGGTTGGGCACCAAGGGGGGGCCACTAGTGATGTGTTTTTTTTTTAATACCACGACGGCCACGAGGTTGAAACCAGACCAGTGGATTGCCAGTCTGGTGCTACTGTTGACCATATCTTTAGAACTTTCTTCAGCGCTTGGGCAGGCGCTAAACCTGCCCCCTGCGAACTCCAAGCATCTCTAAACTCTAAACTAAATAGAAATTTGGACGCCCAACAGAAACCTGAATCAACCTGCGATCTGTTTAAATCCTGGTCTTCTCTATGGTCAACACCAGCAAAAACCAGAGTCCCATTTGGCCGGACCTGAACGACGCTGGTTTACCAGCCCCACCTCGTATACCGTCCCTCTGACTTTGAGTCGCAAAAAGGCCCAGGGTCGCGTGCCGAAGAAAGGCCGACGCGACGCGCCGGTGTAAACGACCACCCACAAGAATGGCACTTTGTTTTCAAGAGACCCGATCTTGATGATTCATGAAATTCCATAGGCAATAAATATAATCAATGAAAAATATGCAAGTTCATTCAATGGTAGGATTAATGCCAACGTTGCAAATGTCCCCATTCATGGCTTGATCACCTCGTGGTGTGTCTCTCGGTGATTTCTTTCATGGCTTGACCAGGTGCATCTTTGAAGGCAAGATGCCAGGCTGGGGGAATTCTCTGCCGAATCCCTTCACAGTTGACAGAACAACGGGACGTCCTGCTGTTTTCGAACATCGCTTCGAGTGACATCGCTTTGACGTGCTTTAAGAGGAACAGAAAAAGAGGACTGTTCCCATTTAGCCTTTTTGAAGGAGAGGACTGGATGACTGGATGTCCGAAGTTCCACCATAAAGGAATACACGACTGCTCGCCGACGGCTCATGTTTGTCGCCAGGGCTTTGGCAATTTTGAGCCGCCACCGGAGGAGGGACGGACCGGGTGACTAGGGCAGCATTCGGCACCCAGGGGGGGGGGTTCTTCCATGGAGATGTCCCCAATCGACAACGCTTTTGTAGCAGTATATATAATTTATATTATTTATATAATCACATATATATATATATACCTGCTAAACCTTATAACCACCTTTTGTTGTCCATGTCGCTAATTGTTGTCTTTTGGTATGTAAGGACGAGAATTGTTGTCCGGGACGTGTTTTACCGTAATCCCTGAACATCCTGAACATGGTCTATTTCACAACACTCAAATATATCAATAGTGTTCAGGCTTTGGACGTAAAAACCATTCAGGCTTTTAAAAGGATGCCTCTGGGCGCATGTTTGCATGCCTTGTTGAACTTGTGCATGGTCGCGTGGATCCCGCCCTGCTGGGCTACTTTGATCGTTGCCCCCTTGTTGAAGCCTGGAGAAGACAGATGCGCAATCGAATGACACCGACCTGTATCACTCATGCCTCTTGGCCTGAAAAAGTTGGACCGTCTCATGTTCAACCGCCTATGGCCACCCATGGCAGCTGGGTGGGTGCAATGGAGCCGAGACAGCATTTACATGTATGGCTGAGTTGATACAGTTGCGCGCTAATGGTGTGTTGCCCCGAGGCATGATGTTAGCTTTCATGGACGTCAGTCGGCGTTCTGCCGGCCTCCAATGCAAGCGATCGTCTCTTGCCTGCGACAATTGCCGGTATCCGGGCGAGCGATATTTTGTTCCCCCGCTACGTTGCTGTCAAGTTTGCAGTCCAGGGCTGCATTGTTTGGTGGCCTGCATGGAAAGTGGGCCAACCACACTTGTCTTTAGCAAGGGGGTGCTTTGTCCATGGTACTGTTTGGCTTAGTCACTTTGGCATTATGCAGCAATCTCATTGGTTTAGAAGCTGGTGTCCCGATTGCCCAGGGCATCTTCCCAGCTCAGGCCTATGTGGATGATGTAGCATTACCGTCCTCCTCGCGGGAGGGGGCACAGACAGCGCTGAATGTGGCGTCCTCTTGGGCTGACAGCATACTGATGAGGCTGAACATTGGTGTGGTCAAGACAGCTGCTTTGCGAGGGCTTGTTCGTGAGCCGATGGTGCAATTGAGAGTTCATGGCCAACCCTTGCCTGAAGTTGATTCCTATCGGTACTTGGGCGGCTTTCTCCATTGTGGGCAGGTTCTCATGGGCCACTGCTCGATGACTTGCAGTCCCGGCTCCGCACCAAGACTGGCCAGTTCCTTCAATGGGCTCGAGCCAAACAGGTGCCAATCTTGCTCTGTCAGTTGCGGGCTGTGTATGTCGAACCCACTGCAAAGTTTCTGCTGCCAACAATTGCATTGAGCAGGAGTGAGCTACAGAAGGTGGACCTCATGCAGCGCAAACTGGCACGGATGATTTTGGGACTTCCGAAAAGATCTCCAATTCCCTCAGTGCTTTTAACAGGGTGGGTTTCTTGGCCAGCCACTTTGCCAGTGTGGGGGTTGAGTTTCGGATCATGTCTGGCAGCCCATGTCTTCTTGCTTTCTTGTATGAGCATGCGCGTTGTGTTCGTGGCACTTGGTCGAACCAGGCTCATTTGGACCTCCTCACCATCACTGGTCAGGCGGAGTTGCCGCCGCAGGACCAGCGTCAGTGGATCATTCAGAGAGCCATGAAGGAGGTTGAGGCAGTTGCTCTGGCCATGCAGGGAACCATCAAGGGGATGCTGGATCGACCGTGGGACCTGGCGGCGCTGCAGTCTTCCCAAAGACTACGGGTGCATCGAACCTTGTTGCAAATTGGCAAGCGCGGAAGAAATGGCTACGGTCCCGCGCTCATGCAGAATATAGATAGCATCGCACCTCGGCAGTCTATAGGGAATTGCTTGAAGCGGTTCTCCAAGGACCAGGGAAGTCGCAAGTCTCTTGCCGAGCACGGATCGTTGTGGGCCACGAGCACAAGATGGACGTAAATGTTGCTTGTAAACATCTATCTTTTAGCATCCTGGACTGGAATTGGTATCTACCCAAGGTAGCAGGTACGTAATTTCTACTTCACTCGAGTAGGCTGAGGAGCAATACTGCATTTTGCCTAAAAGAAGGCGCTGAGAAAAATAATCATGCAGTACTTTGACGTTTGCCTTTATAAATCACTGACTTACTACTGTAGCTGAAGCCATATTCATGAGAACTCTAAAATGGACTTGGGCTTTAAGCAAACTCAAAGTGCATGATATCTTTGCATATCTTTGCATAGAAGTGTAACAGTTTCTATAAGTCTATATATTGTGTTTTTATTGATGTTTCTTGCACATATGAGAACGTCTGCACGTGTTTTATATGTTGTTGTTGGTCCTATTGACTGTAATAGTCGGTAAACAAATCACTTTTGATAAAGGCCTTAGCTAACCATCATCCAGTACTGGGTCGGTCCACTTTGTAGTTGTTGTGTTGGTCATCCAATCGGGTTGACAGGTACCCCCAGACCACCCGCGGAAGCGAGTACGTCAGACATCGGCCGCCCGAAGCGATCGGGTTGACAGGCTCGATTCGTCATCTCGGGTCGGTGTTCGTGGTATATAAAAACAAGAAATAGAGTTGATGAAGACCCACCGTGGACCAAAGGATATATAGATACTGGACCCACCGCTACAGAACGAAAAGTACTCGTACCAAGGTTGGAACACTCCATCATTTTCGTTTCTGAAGTGTTTACGCCAGGAGGAGCCCACGAAGAAAGCCGGGGTGGCCGGTCAGGTGCGGAGGTGGTGTTTCAGCAACTGGGTCAGGGGACACTTTTTAGTGAGTCAGTTTTTGCAAAGAGCAAGTGGTGAAAACCGTGTTCAGAATGACACGCAAACCTTTTCCAAAAATACGTCACCGCATGTTATCGCATGTTATCAGAACGAGGGTTATGATACCCTGGAAACCCAGTTCACCTCTAGTTCATACGGAACTCACTATTCATGGCAGAAACTTGTATCCTCAAAATCTCTTGTGTTGGTTTGAGTCCGTTCTTCGAGTACCTAGGCTACGATACTTCAGATCATGACATGAAAACGTGTTCAAATCCACGTTCGAGGTCGAGATCATCAACACAGAAGTCTCTCCAACGAGCAACCGGACCAGATGGGACAACAGAAACAGGCACCAAGACAAAACACCTTCGATAGGTTTAAGGATCCTACCTGGTGGCTCAAAAGGGAGCGGCTTCCGAACCGGGGATACATCCAGTTCTTCCCAAACAGGGAGCCGCTCGCAGCCACAGGGAGTGCCCCAACCTTTGCTAGCGAACCATTTGGACAACATCTTTGAGGTTAAGAGTGAGGAAAACCGTTTTCGACACTCTTTGGACCAGCTGGTTGTCATGTGGCGGAAGGAGGAAGAAGAACACCACCGCAACCAATGCTTCCAAGTTGCCCAAACGCCGCGAGGCCGCGGAGTTTGTGGCCGATTCCATTGGCCTGGAGACTTGGCGCGCGCACGCGCGCCATGCTGCGCATGATTCGATCTGAAGAAGCACATGGTGACGTGCTTTCGGTGCTTTCTGGCTCAGAAAAACACTCAATTTCTATGCCATCTAGCGGGGACTTGCTAGCAGCTAGCATTGATCTGTTTTAAAGCCAAAGAGATCCAAAGAGTCTTTGAAAAGGAGCTGGGTGATCTGGATGATTTCTGAGTTGATTTGCCTGTGTAGGCGCTCCATGCCTTCTATGTCCCTCGTTTGGACCTTTCTTCATACAGAGTCAAATATACTAAGCTCAGTCGCTTGTGGAGCATCTCCACAGTAATGCTTTTGTTCACCGGATTGTTCCAAGGAGCAAAATAACATTCTTGAAATGTATGGTTGTAAACATTTATATAAGCACAGACAGCTCATAATATATGCTCATGCATATATTTAAATATATGCTATAAATGTGTATGACAATGCACAAGGGCATCAGGAGTGCTTCAATTAGCAGGTGGTGAGGCCTTTTTTGGAATAAACAGATGCTGAACACGGCGGGTTCAACCATCGAAACCATTTGACATCACCGAACCAATCAAAAAGAAAACACATCAGCTATCAGCTCACACCATGCAGCAGTTTGAACAGCTTCAGACAACAATGGGTGGACAAGTGACCCCAGCGCCAGCTAGGCCGGTGACCAGGGGAAGGAGTTTGAGGGAGTTCCCCGAGCTCCCCGCGAGTTCGGTGAACCCGCGAGTTGGGAACGCGAGGTGACATGGTCGATGACTTCAAAGAGAAGGGTGCGGTGGGCGCTCTGAAGGCCCGAGATCGGAGACCTGAACGCTTTGGGGCCGCGTTGGCGGCGTTGTGTTAGACGCTGGGCGGCCGGTTTGGGCTTTTTTTGGATGCTGTGGCTGTGTATGTGTTATGCATGTAGGCATGTGCGCGAGTTCATGGCGATTTTTCGATTGGTGGGCATTATGGGGATTTCACATGGGATGAAAAACGGATCGGAACGAAGAAACTGAGACCAATATCTGATTTGGAATCCTGGTCAAAATAGCTTAACTTGCTGAAAATTGCTTTTTCTCAACTGAACTTGCTTACATTCAACCTTGATCCAAAACCTTGGTTTCTAAACCGTTCGGTTCAGAGTTTGGAGAGCAGATTTGAGACCGTCCTCGTTCCACGTTCTTAGACGGTTGACTCGTCGGTCACAAAGAGAAACGTTGAGATGATTCGGTCGGATCCGCCTCACCCAGAAATTTTAAGGTTTTGGCGCGGTTTTGGCGAATTTTTTGGTTGCCACATCTCTAACATTATATATATAACCACATTAGAGGCTTAATGACTTTTCTCAATCCCAGCTTTTCTCAGCCGATGTCATGATCTCCCACTAAGCCACAGCAGCTTGGAGGATGCTACTATTGATGCCCTGGACCTGGTCTTGGATGGTGTGGACACCATCTGGGGCTGGGTGGCCGGTTCAAAGGAGGCCGTCCGCGTTCGTCCGCGTGCGTCCGACGGCCGTACTCAAGATAGGTGCGAAGAGCCCTTTGGAATATTCTGCAGCCCTGTTCGTTAGAACCTGCCAACGAGTTTTTGCCAAAGATCGTCCAAAAGCGGGAACCGAATGGGATGCCCCAGCTTTTGATCTTTTGATAGGTCATGACCCTGCCAGCCTCGCAACGTGCCAGACCGACCAACCTCGCATTTGTCAGCCTGTGAGCCAGCCGCAAGGGCATCTTGGTGAAGAGTCTATCCCAGAACGGAAGATCCTGTTGTTGGTACCATTGGAGCTTCAAAACCAATGACGGCAAGTGACGGTCAGAGCAATTGCTTGATCGCAGGGCCAATATCTCAATATTATGATCAAGTACATTAATTAAATTGCTGTATCTCACAAATTATATATATATAGAGAGAGAGAGAGTCACCTATAGAGCTTCCATCATTCCACTCCTTTGCAACACCTGGCAATATCTGAATCTCTTCTCTGATTGGGCAAGAAAATGCTGGAACTCCACCCGACAGGAAAGGTTGATCTTCCACAAAAGAAGGAAGTTTGAGTTGGCGGCATGAAACACCTTCACAGAATTCAGGTCATAAGTCAGTTAACAACATTAAAATATACCCATCACAACAAGAACAAACTGAATGGAACGGGAAAAGCGGATGTGCGAGGTGTGCGCTTGATCTTCAATAATTGTCCTACTCTTGGTTTCCCTTTGCACGGTTGGTTTTCAGAGTAGGGTACTCTGAAAGCCTGCCCTGTAGTCGTCTTTTTCGTCTTTTTCATCATAGCCCTCTGAAGAATCCAGAGTCCCCCTGGGGCCCTTTCTTTGGGAATTCGTTTTGACTACTCTACAAGGATAGGGGTTACAATCATCGAAATCTGATCCAAAACTGATTAACCACTCGAGTCTCCGGTTGTTGCTGAGGCCTGGGCAGTTTCCAGGGGCGCAGCCTGGGAGTCTCGGGCCGCATGGGAGGATAGCAGCGGTTCCAGAAGGATTCTTTCGAACCCATTTCTTGCCAGGGAGGGTTGAGGCTACTGAAACAGGTAGAGAAAACATGATCAATAGCGATGGCCTCCAACCCCATAGCCACCAAGCATCTCCAACCTAATAGCGATGGCCTCCAGCCTATGGCCTCGGATTTTCTGATAATGGCACTCCCTGGAATCATCATGGTTTCGTAGAGTGAGTGAAAACCACCACGGGGCCATGCCATCCATGTAACCATGGTGATTCCAACGAGTGTCTAGATCCGTATGGAAGATACATCACATACCCCAGACGCGACCTATGGGACTGCCATAGGACTGCCGCCCCAGAAACACCCCCCTGGCCACCCCTGCCCTTTTTTTGGCAGGTCCGCAATCCCAGACAGGTCACGTCTGGGTATACATCTCCCCTCACTGCTGGATTCAAAGACCAACCCCGAGAGGATCAAACTCCGAAACGACGAGACCGCCCGCTTTCGGCGCCCTATACGCAGCTTCCGAAGCGACCGAACTCCTTGCATGGCCCCGAAAACAGCCCTATACTCTATACCTAGAGGATGGTGAAACCCATGCTGGAGCATGCAATCTGAGGACTGGTGGGTATTCGAGTGCCTCTGGAGCGTGTGCCTGGCACTTCTTGGAGCTCCCACCCAAAGAACGGCTAAAAAATCCTGAGGGTTGCACACTGCGCATTCACACTGCGCCAATCCTCAAAGTGCTTGACGCACATGCAAACATGCCTCCAAAGAGTCAAGAACTCCGCGAAAGCGTCACTCATTCTAGACCTTTCATTCAAGAGGAGGCAGAGGAGGCTTTCGGTCCATGTTTATATTTATGTTTTTCGATGGGATGTCGACTCGTGTGGTTCAAATAGCAAGGATAAGTTTTTTGTAAGGCAGGGGCTTAAACAAGTCCGTGACTCTCCATCCAATAAGCCCAAGAAGAATCCCCAGCAGCTGGGCATCTAAATCCCCCTACAAGGCAACTTAAACCATCACAGGTTCACCAACCAGTGTCGTGTCGTGTGCCAGACAATGCTGTCTTCAAATGTGTGAACCTGTTCAAGCCACATGAGCATACCAACCCGGCAACACGTCGGCATAGCACATATCATGTGCCCACGTATGTGCAAGCACAACAACGCCACTACAAGCAAAAACCAGCAAACATGCTCCAGAACCGGCTCTGGACTCAAGTCAGCGTGACAGCGTGACCTGCTTGGCAAAAATATTAGCATGTTAGCGTGACCCATGCCAGCACAACAACATGTCAGCCTGACACCACATAAGCATATCAGCATCACAACACAAATCATGTCACGGCCCGGAACCTGCTCCAGAACTTGATTCTGGACCTGCTCTGGAACTTTCTATGGAACCTGCCGCTGGGGCTGCTCTGGTTTGTGCCGAAGCCTTTACATATAATACATGCAAATATATATATATATGCTATGGCTGAGGGCCCCCCTAAGCTTCGCTGTTGGGGAACAAACAAGCATTGAAGTGGAAGAGCCCCTGCCGCGTCTTAGGAAATGATTCTTCCAGCACGCCATCCACCGAACCACGATGGTCGATAGTGTAAGATGGCGAGGCTAGAGTGGGTAGATGGCACTTCCAGCCAGCATGGTGAGCCTATTAGTTGCGTCAGAACGGCCAGCTGTTGAGCAGACGCAGAACTTCGGGCACTTGGCAGTGTTGCACTGGAGTCACCCGAGTGGATCGAAAGTCACGCTTTGCACTGCTAGCCTCCAATTGCATCCTTCCAATAAAGGATCGTGTCGGGGGCGTGTGTCATGAACACCAAGATCTGAGGATTAAACACGTAAACAGTTGTTAAACAGGGATGTTATATATAACATTTTCTTCCTTGTGAAAAATGAGCCTAAAAGATAGACGAGCTGTGCTTTTTAAAAAGATTTTGTTGGGCAGTTTCTATATCATGCTATATCATGTGATATAGCTGAAAGGGTAGGGAAGTCTTAAATGCGTAACGTTTTGTCGTTCGACTTGGACAAGGAGATTCTGAAGCCGCCAGGCCCTTTCAACCACCAGTCCAGGCACCAAAAACATCGGCGTTGGGGAGCTCGGGAGAGCTTCGCGAGACAAATTTCAGCTTCAGACTTCCAATGAATTCGCCACGGAGTTTTTGGTATGCATCATTGAATAATATACTGTATATTTTTGTGCGTATACATTTTTAATGGGGGTATCGATGGGTTGAAGAAAGCAGGACATCCAGAATTGTTTTCATTCACTATTCACAAAGACAGATGGACAGTTGGCAACACTTAAACAGATGAACGCACATTATGGTCGTTCCAGCCGGGCAACTAGACAAGTTGGAAGTTGTTCCGTTCTGCGATGCTCCTAAAACTATCAAGCATGTTATACTGTATACGTCTGTATACTACCACTACCATCCTAGATTCCTGGGTAGCACTAGAATCAAACAATTCATAACATGCACTTCTATGAAATTCAGCTGTTTGAACAATCAAAGTACACAAAGTACATGTGGGGTGAAGATGTTGATTCCTATGACTTGGAACACTCCGTTCAGGCCACATCCGTCGGTGTTACCTGATTCCCAGACATGCTGGACCATCATGCTGGACCATCTTCACGTGTTTTCTTGATGTTTTTTCACCTCGCCAGCCTGGGAAAACATTGGAAGAATTTGATGTAGTTCGATTGGCAAGGAAGATGGGTTGTTTCACATTGTATCCCCTTTCAGTTGAATGACGGACGGCGCCACACATATTTGATCTTGTCGAGTATGTGTCTATTATGTGTCTAATTGTATATTGTTCTATATTATTATGGGCGTAAAGCCTAAGGCAACATGTTGTTCTCTGTGTGGACAGGATGTGTTTGACCTGGAAGAAAGTCGCGGAGGGGCCTCATCCTGTGAGCCTCACCCGCTGAGGAACCATTATGCAGCTGCCTTTGGTGGTGGTGTCGTAGGCAAGCGAACGTGCGCGGGGCACGACCCATTGGTACTTCCCTGTATGATCTGAGATTTGTGGCAAAAAGATGCAATCAGAAGAGTGAAAGTGAGCCCATCGATGCTTGAGGAGCTCGGACTTACCAAAAGATAGCCGTTAATGAGATCTAGGCAGATTCAGATGTAAGAGATCTTTATCAGATAGAAATTGCGCTTCCCTACTCTCGTCAAATGCCACCATGGACCTTGCTTGCCGCTGGCATGGCCCGGAAGAATGAACGTCTCCCTGATAGAACTCCGATCCCATGCCGAAGAGCCTTGCAAGGAGTAGAATATCATGGGAGACCCACCAGAGATGTTATACGGGCTGGATTCTTCGAATCCTGGAATTCCTCGCCCGGCAGGTGCCAACAATCCAGTGATGGTGAGCGGCTTGCCGAATGGTCAGTCGTGGCCTCAGCGGGGGGATAGAGGAAGGTCGACCATTCTGCTGTCTCCTAATTCATGTAGACTCATGATTAGGTGAAAATCACCAGCTTCTTCGAAGTGACCTTGTTGGAGTCCCATCCAGCTTTTCCAGAGCTAAGTGACCTCAAACCAGGGTGTCAAAGGGTCACCTTGAAGAACCAGGCCCATAAGAAGAGGTTTTACTTTAAAATTTTGCAAAGAGAACCGATGGAGTGAATGCGCAAGCTCAACTTGCGGTGCTTTTGGTTTTGCGTAAAGGGAAGTGCCAACTGTTAGAGGATGAACACTGCACCTTTCGTGCACTGATCCGATGGGTGCAGGGGCGGTTGACTTTTTGTCGTCGTCGGCTCTCGTTCGCCCTTCACCCAGGTATGCACGTGCCGAGAGAGCACAATTCGTGGGGTAAAACCATGCCATCGGGCCTAATCCGAGGAGCTGCACCATACATGTCTAACAAGGAGCTTGAACAGCTGGTCACGATCACCCGAAGGGTATCCGGCCAGACACTCCTCACTTGGGACTTCCCTGTCCATTCTTGTTTTTCCTAGGCGATGTCTTTGATCACCCTTGGGGAGGGTGCTTTGGGTTCTCACCCGTGGAACGGGTGCTTGAGTTCTTTCTTGCCAGTCAGTGGAAGCTGACGGCATCGCTCGTTTCTGAGACTTCGCGAGCGCGGGAGGTAGAAGAGGTTTTACTTTAAGGATCGAGGAGATCCGTACAGAAGTCTGAAGTCCTCAGAAAGTGGGTCCTTGCATTTGATGGCATGATGGGCCAGTGCTTGGGTCGTTGGAATCAAATGGCTCATGGGATGGATTTCCTATTGCAGCCATTCCACAACGTCCAGGTCTACAGGCGCCTCATTCCATTTCTCCAACGGTGGATGGTGACTGGCACAGAGGAACGGTTGCGGCGTTGCTTCGCACCACCTGAGCGATCCAACACCCGGTGCGAAACGCGGGCGCTGAACGACCCGGTCCGAGCTTCACATCGAGACGTGGAAGACATGCCGAGCGCTCAAGACACGACAGGTCTTGCGTCCGCCGACGCGTCCGCCGCCGCAGGGGTTTCGCACCACGACGCGGTCGACGTGCGGCGGATGCCGCCCAAACGTCGCGAGTCAGAGCCCCTGGCCAGCCGGGTTCAGCACGGTGAAGCCCACGGCCAGCTAGTCGCGACTCCGAACACAAAACGAGGTCGCCTTGGTCTGGCATCGTCGATACCGAACAGCAAGGCCCGTTGGTTGCACAGGTTGCAGCGATTCTTGCAAACAGGTGGCCTACGTCTGGAAGCAGGTGCAAGTTGCTTCCAAGGTGAAAGGTGTGGACCAGTATTATGGCTCCTGGTCCGCTGGCGCGCTGGGCGCAGCTTTTGCTTCACATTTGCCGTGTGGCTGGGTGCTGCTTTGGGAGTGTACTCATCCTCTACTAATTAGTCAATCATAGATTCAATATTCTGATTCTGCGAAATGGTGGGTTTCTGACGTATTTTTGCTTAGCTCGGCAACTGACGACAAAATGACAGCCACATGAAAGCGTGGTGACTGTGAAGGGCCAGCGCAGCGGCACAAAGGCCAGCGCCCAACTTCCAAAGCTACGCCGGCGCCGCGGCCGCCGCGAGCGCCACGAGCGCCGCGAGCGCCGCGGCCGCCGCCTCCACGCCGGCGGAGCCAGCGCCGGGAGCTCAGATGGAGAAGCGTGGCAGAGAGAGGCCGCGAAGCGACTATATAGGGGATGTGAATTTCCTCTCTGATCCATGGAATGACCACCCTCCATCGTTCTATGGCAGAGACGTTGTATATGTGCCCAGACTTTTAGGAGGGAGCTTGCCTAGATGTCTTCTTTTGTAACACCAATCGACTATAGATGCATGAACAAGATGTGCCCACCTCAACATCAACCCTCTAATTGTCCAGAATAGATGCAATGAGATAGAAGCCGACAAGATCGGCCCAGGACGGCCCGAATTCCGTGACTTTCCTGTAGATTGAGATCCATTGTGACAATCGCTCATTGAGGGAATCTTTCATGTGGACGGTTCTCACATCCTCGCTACAATCCCCTCCAACTCATCCAATCCGCATGAAACACTCCCTGCATGATCTGTATCCGTTTCGTTTCGTCTCCAGGGCGGAAGCTCCAAAAACGCCCATGGTGGATCTCTTGTGGGGCGCCCCGCGAATCGGGAGCCTTCAGGGCCCAGGGCTGGTCCGGTGATTCAGAAGAGAGGCCGACTGCTAGGAAGAGTGGAACTGGATGAAGACCCATTGGTGTGTTGGTGTTGTTGGTGTTGTTGTTGTTGTTATCAATGTTTTTTGACCACTGAAATAGAATTGGAACTCGTGGAACTGAACTATATAATGTGTGTTTGGTGAACATAAACGCTTGTTCAATCTACTGCAAGCAACTTCTCATTTTGGGTATGCATTTTTCAGATTCGTTCACTCATCACCTGCTTACTTTGAGCTCACCTGAAAATATTAGGGCATTAGGAAAGAGGTTGAACAGCAGAGAGATTCCGACAAGTTCAACACATTTTCTTCTTTGGTTGCAACAGCGGTTGGGGAGGCTATACAATTGCAGGATGTCCAGATCCAGATCGGTGGTTCTTCTTCCCAGGTGTTCCAATGAGCTCAGAAGACATCGTCTTTTTGTCAATATTTGGATATCTGGCTGTTCACAAAGTTTGAGTACCACAATGCAGAGGAAAGCTCTGCGGATAAGCAAACACACAGATAAATACTCAAAGAGCGAGGAAGTAGTGCTTTGGATATTTAATGCCATTGGTCTTGCAGTCAGTGTCACTGCTGTGTGTGCGTGTCAACCTGAACCAACCAACCAGCAGAACACCAGCAGTTCTTCCAACTCTTGGCGAATGTTTTCCAACGCAAAGCCAAGCATTCTGTTGATGACGAAGCAAGTGCTCAATCTGGCGAGCTATATGGTCTGACTGACTTTGGGTCTTGGCGGATTTGCTGAATCTTCCGAACCACCAGGCAGATCCTCATAGAAAGTCACCTGCTCCATTTGATACCAGGCAAGACAAAAAGATGGTTCAGTGACTGAGCAAAGAATCCCAGCACCCTACACAAGCTGCCTAGGATTAGAGAATCATAGAGAATCCATGGCTTTGCGGATATATCTGACAGCATTTGAGGGATTGCAAGTCTAGTCTACCGAAAAAAAAGCCGCAAGGTCTCCAGAAGGTTTGTTCAACAATGTTCAACAACTTGTTTATTCTCCCCTACTCCTATCCATACTCTCTTCTATCCTACTCCTATCCATACTCCTATCCATACTCTCCCAGATTCACTGGCTTTCCTGCCCCAATTCACTGTGACGGCCTCGTCCACTTCTCCGGGAGCATCCGGATGCTCGTGGACGCTGGACGACTCACCCGGTGAAGGACGAATCGCGTCGTGTGGGGATCGGCCGCACCAGGAGGGGATTCTTCTGGACCCGACTATGTCCTCTCGACTATTGAGAATTCAGCTTTGCAAGATAAGCCTGCACGCAAGCACATCACATGAAATGACATGAACATGACATGGATTCTTCTGGCAGTATTCATGGCGTGTGCTGGGATCCAACACAACGCTTCAGATGTTGCTTTCCTCCAGGTCGATGGAGGAGCCAGCTGCCAAGTCACCGGGTGGCGGCGGCGTTCCCCCTGGCATGTGTGGAAGAGAGCATCGGAGTTGCTTTTCTCACGTAGAGCGAGAGGTGGGTGCAAAATCACCCGGTTCTTGGTCGAAGTCGGCGGAGACATGTCCGTTACACGTTGAGTTGTGCAGTCTACAGTGGCACCTGGAATAGCCAGTGTTATGCCAGTGGTGGAACCCAGAAGCCTCCATCAGAGAGATCCTTGATGAACTAGCAAAGGTTATGGTTGTTGATGGTGATTGTTTTTATCCCACGTACTTGGCACGACTCCTTTTGTGTGGACAGTTTGTTTTTTTTGTTTTTAAATTGGGGATAATCGTCAAAAAAGAATTATGAAAAACGAGTTTTTGAAGATGCAAAGGGCTTCAAGCACTATCTTCCATGGGTTCATCAATCAGAGAATCTGGTTCACCACTGCATTACATGTGGCTGATTCGGATGAACGAAGGCTTCAGACTCCAGACCCGCACAAAGTGGAAAAGCTCTAGTCCAACAGTTTAATCCTTCTGAAATCCACATCTATCTTGATCTTTTACGGAAAGGGCCTCAGATTGGTATGAAAGCACGCCTTTGCGTGATGATGATCTCAGAGAGAAAGAGGTGGAAGCCGTGAAAATCTTTGAACATAGGATAGAACATGCACCCTCATCAAAACTGTCTTAGCTCCAACTCAAGTTCGGAGATTTGGCAAGCGATCAGGCTTGATCAGGCCGATATATTTTGTTTAATGATGTTTCATGTAATATCAGAGCGTCTTTGACGGGACGATGATACTTAATTCTCAATCATAGAGAAACGGGTATGCAAAATAGAACACAGAGCAGTTAGAAGCTTGTGCAGTGTCCTGTTGGTATGGCAAACGGGATGATTGGAACCGTCCAACCGTTCCCACGGGCGACGGACGGCGGAGCGCCAGGTTGACCTCTTGGGAGATTTATAGACGCTCCCGCGTCGCAGGCAGGAGCTACCACTGGGGGGTTCCCCACCATCCGGCGAGAAGAAAACGACGTGGAAAAGACCATGGGTATTATCCTGTTTGTTCTTCCATGTCAATGTCAAAGCGTTTTTTTCGACTCTTGCTGGTGAGAAGACCGCGAAAGAAGTGAGGTTTAGGATTCGATGCGGCTACCCCCATCCCGGCCTAGCATGGCCTATTCCCCTCTTGACCTGCATGCCTTCATATGCTTGCATCTTGCTGCTAGGGATGGCCATAGGACCGGAGAATGTCTTGGAGGTAACTGCAGTTCCTGTTAACTGGTCTGTCCGTTCTTACACGATGCTTTTGAACTGCCAAGGACAAACTTTGGAGGGGGTTGTCAGAGTTTCTTCGGTTGTCAGTGCCACGCATAGTGTAAATACTTTGGCCTGGCAATCAATCAAGTTGACGAAGATGCTATTCGCTGCTGGTGGTCCACCATAGAATGGCGCGGTATGAGTTCAATGTGTCTAATTACCAGTTATATCTAATTATATATATATATATGCAGCGTATACGTAGCAAACATGTGACAACGTGTGGTGAGGCTTCAATTGAATTTGTAAATGCTCCCAAAAGAGTCCCAGAAAACAAATCAATTAGTGCAAGGGTGCTGGTGCTTTGGATATGTGTTTTGCTTCTTTGTTTTTCCTGTTCAGGTATGCCTTCAGGTATGCCACCATCAACCATCACTTGACATCGTTTCACCTACTTGAATTGACTCACGGCCTTTCTTTCAGCACAACCCCTGTGTGTTGAGGCCAACATGCTGGACATTTGAGCGTACGGGCATGCAAGGACCGTACAACCGAGACACGGCTCTCGTGGGAAAGAAACCTCTCGGTGCGCTGTCCATCCATTTTCCACGGCGCCGCGGGGATCAGGAGTCGGAAGAGGTCGGATCAATGATCAGTCTTGATCAATCTTGATCCAGTGATATATTCGAAAACCCATTCCTATTGTACCCAAAAAACAGGCTCAAGTTCGGCGGACCAAGGTCGTCCCATCCTGGCTTTGGAGCAGTCGAGACTGGAGCTGAACGGGAAGACAATACTTTAAGTCAATGTCACACAGCAATGCTACCCAAGCACCAACAGCGCATACGATACTTTTGTCGCGTGAGGATCCTGGATCGCCTAATTGGATCAAATAGGCGAGTTCGTGATTTTGGCACGGGGCCGTCAGAAGGTGCTTTGTGGTTGCAACTTCACATTTCAAGGACCAGCTTTGCAGGTGGACAGCTCAAGAAGGATCAAACAGTTTGGAGCGAATCGATGGCCAGACCCCTACACCGTCAGGCACCCCAACGAGAGCCGCGTCGTCGAACAAAAGCCACAACGACGACACGTGTTCGGCTACGGCGACAACGACATGGCATCTGGAGACCTATCACTTCGTTGATAGATGTTGATAGTACTTGGACTCCAACAGTTTTACGTCTTGAAAGGTGATGTGGTGGAGAGAAATTGTTCCACGCCACACTGTGTCTGTGTTTTCCTGCGTTCCTCGCACCATGGGAGCAGTTCTCGCCATCAGCATGTGACTGATGGAAGCATCCGCAGACCTGAACACTGGACATCTAGGCGCCCAATCCAATATCCCACAAGAAGCTACTAGGGTGGAGGCCATTGCTAGTAGGTTGGCCATTCCTACGTAGCTTCTGAAGCTGCGAACATAGCTTCCGCCGTATACTACCCCGTACTCGAATGTGAGTCCAGACCTGTGGGGAAGCGACGAACGCGAGAGGGATATGATCGATAGGCATACCCAGTCTAGCCCGATCGGTGGCAAGGACGCGTTTCTTCGAGCGCTGATTGACAAGGAATGAGACGCAGAGCGATGTTTTTAGAGAGCAGTTCTAGGCCAGGCAACGTGACGCAGGGCAGTATTCTCACCATGAAAAGCATCATCATGCAACATCCACTTCAATGAGACATGCCTAGATATGCCTAGATCCTTTTTTAATAGCTCCCCCACATGTGCTGGCTTCTTGGAAGGAGTTCGGAACAAGTCCAGCCTTTTCTAGTCGAGGTTAAAGCCCTAAGTGTGCGGCACGTGGAGTCTCAATCGTTTGCCTAACGTCCTCACCGGGGTAAGATCCTGCCGTGGTTACCGGGCCCATTTCTGTGTTGAAACGATGGAAGAATTGAAATACCTGTGACAAACATTGCATCCAGCACTTCTTCAGATCTTAAGCGGTGTGTTAATTCTCACACACTGCAAAGACCAAGGTGGAATATCAACATAGGGTCAGCAGATTTGCATTGCAACAGGGTCTTTGGGGTGCATACGCTGCAGGGCTTTGTGGCCGCAACGAAGTTGAGCAGTGGTGAAATATTCCAATCATTCACCATTCCAAACTGATACTTCTTCGGGGACAGGTATTGCAAGATACAACACAGATGTTGGACCTTTAGCCAGTGATATCAGTGATATGTGATGGAGAGGAGTAACTCATCGTATACAACCATGTTCAAGGTGGTCAAACATGAAACGTGTTGACGTCACGAACTCATTCGCATCACATCCGGTGGTTATCCACCCGGAATCTTTACAACCCCTGTTCAGATGAAGTAAAACCTGCTTGAGCCCCCTGGTTTGGTATTCTGAATATCATCAAACCAACCGATCCGACCATGCGACCCCTTTTCATGCTCCCAGAAATCAGGCGATTCAGATTCAAATCTTCACACTTGTGGGATTTCCAGAGATTTGGCGGATTGGTGGACCCCTTTAGAGTCCCTGTAAAGCTTGGCATTCTTCAGCTGCGCCTTTGGCCTTTACTCCAGAAGTCTGAAACCGCTGACCCTGGGTCAGCGGGTGCAGTGTTGCGAGCTGGTGGCAAGGGTTTTCGGGCTGCTATGTCGAAGGCTGTCCGAGGGCCGATGTTGGGAACATGAATTCCACAGGTCCACAAGTCATGGGAGGGCGTTCCAGCGGGACAAGGTTGGTTGGTTTTCTTCTTTAGGAATCCACCTTCTTTGGCTGAGGAATTTACCATCGAATTTCACCTTCTCAGTGATATCCATCAGCTCTATCTCGAGCCATCAGCATCGCTCGTGGCTTCCGGACCTCGACGTGTCTGCGGAATCCTGGTGACGAAGAGGATCCAAATCAGTGCTTGACCAAGCTACTAGTAACAACATGACTATACTAGTAACAAGAAGCTACTAGTAACAAGGGCATCGCTATTTGATTTGGCCAGGCTGCACTGGAATCTCATCTTTGGTTGTCAACATGTACAGGTCGAACATGGTGGACATTCTTCGGTGTGCTACAGGATGCTACAGGGCTACCCATAACGGAACCCAAAGGCTTTTTGTTGCCGCCATTGATGTTTGATGTCACTGTAGGGTTTCAGTGCGAGAGTTCGGATTGGCTCCTACCGGGAGTGACTGCTCCTACCGGATGATCTTCTTGGATCTGAACATCGATTCCTGAAGGTCGTTTAGCTGGGGTAAGGCAGCCATCCAACCAGAGACTCAAAAAATATTGCCATTGACAATCACCAATCAATTATTCTGGTATAGAATAATCATGTTACTTGATTTCGCAGAGTTTCACCCAAGGCGCGAGGATGAAACTTTTGAATCGAAGAAAAATGATGGATTCATTGTTATTTTAGATTGACATGATAATATATATCCTATAATTTAATATATTTATATATTAGTTATATTTTTTCTATTGGATAAATTTTTTGATATAATTGAAATATTAAATGTTTATGGAATATTATTGCAAAAGATATATTATATTTTAAATATAAAAATTAATAAATTAATTAATTATATAATATATAATATAAATTAAATATTAGTTAAAATTAATGATATGAATTTTAATATTAAATATAATATAGTAATATTATATCGAATTTATTTTTTTTTTTTTAGTTATTCGTTTTTATAGAATGGGAGGAATATATGATTGTCGATTTAAAGGTCCTAATTAGTAGTATGTATGACGATGATTCGGATTATATTAAAAATCTATTTGACGAAAGATTAAGTATGTATTTTTGTATGAATGTTTATTTATTTTTTGAATAGTTGGTGGTAGTAACTTAGAAATTAAATGAATTTGGGAAATTAAATAATATTTTTTTATTATTGTTGCGGTTGCTATTAATATTATTATTATTACTATTATTTATTATTAGTATTATTATTACTTAATATTTATTATTTATTATTCTTGTTATTATTTTTATTATTACTATTACTATTTTTGCTCCTACTTTGGGGGGTAGTTATAAAATAATATCTCGCAAAAGATGAAAATTTAACTTAAGATTGGCGAAAATTTACTTTGCTATATCTGATCCTTAATCTATTATGAATAAATTTGAATGACCGGCTATTATAGTGATATTTTAATTCTTGTTGATATTTACGAGAAACAAAAGGGACGTATAGGATGTCAACAATTAAATAGAAGATATATGCTGATAAACCGGCAAATTTCTATTTTGTGTTTGTTAGTAAAGAAGAAACCATTGACGTGAATAAAACACGATATATATGGTACACATAAATACAACGTACTTCGGCGAAAGATAAAACGTAGGAAGGCGAAATTTTGGCGAAAATAACGGATTCCGGATAAAGGAATTTAGATTAACTCCCATATTGATTGGTTATAGGTTTTGTGATTATTGATTTATTTATGGATTTTCGGATTAAGCGCCATCTTAGCCTCGAATTCCGGTAGACATTTCTTTGTAGCCATTCTTGCTATATTTTCTTGCCTTGTGCTTTGGTTTTTTTGATAGATATATCTTTGATGATTGTATTTGTTTGGTTGTTCCTCGTTAGAGGTTGAATTCCTTGGTTATAAGTCCAGGACTCATGGATGCCAATGCTCCGCCTTTCATCCCGAGTAGGTTATGGGTGGCGTGAGGGTTGTCCGGGACTCCTCACTCCCTTCACTCCACCGACGCGCTTCTTTACGAAGCCTTTAGA